CGGTGGTTACATCCATTTGTTCACTAATTTACTACAAGTAAGCCATCGATTGTTATGCCATGAATTGTCTGTAATAATGATGTGTATTGTTGTGACCAAAGGGTGGTATACTGTCATCATTGGTGGCGATCGGGTTTGTGATCGCTCTCTACTCCACTCCAGACAACGGCAAGAATCGGTCGACAAGACTGTGGTATTTGATTGGCTTTGCGTTCGCATCAGGTATGGCGTCGACCGCATTGAGCGGCCATTGATTGTCATGTCATGGGTTTGTATTGTTGTTTAGGTCTTGGTTTGGGACCACTTATGGAGTACGCGATTTTGGTTAACCCGACGATAATCCCGACGGCTTTCCTCTCGACATGTGTTATATTCGGCTGTTTCTCTCTGAGCGCTGTCTTCAGTGATCAGCGAAAATGGCTTTATTTGGGCGGAACTCTTATGTCATTCCTCTCACTTCTTCTGATGCTTTCTATCATTAATCTGTTCATTGGATCCCAACTCTTATATCAGGTAATAATTGCTATTTTATTATCTCTTATGACTCTTGAATGCATTATTAGTTATTGTAAATGTTTATTACAAACGCATCTAATCTTCAAAGCATTAAATGTATGGAAAATATAGGAAATAATTAAATAAATGTTTGTAATATAAGTGAATGCATAGAATTTGATGCCAAATGAAACCATCTGTAGTTTGGAGTTCTAATTAAATGTCTTATTATTTGAGTGATTTTAATAGTAGTTTAGTTGAATAGTTGATTGCAAACTATACAATGTGTGAATAATTTGTTGAAATATTGATTGCCTGTAACGGCAAACATGTGTCATAACTGTATATATTAATGGTATGAATGATGGTTTAGATCCACCTGTATCTGGCATTCTTCGTCGTCTGTGGCTTTATTATGTACGACACAAACCTCATCATTGAGAAGAGACGCCGCGGAGACACCGACTATATCTCGTAAGCCATACATTGATATGTTATTTGTATTCAATATTCATTTGTCATTTCCTTAACAGGCATTCAGTTCTTCTGTTCTTGGATTTCATCGATATTTTCCGATATCTTCTCATTATTTTGACGCAAAAGGTTTGCATTTTTATTGAATATTAAATAAGTATTTTTGCAAATCATTTAATGAAATGTAAATTAATTGCTTTTATAGGAGGAGAGGAAACAGAGGAAAAACAAGTGAATGACAATCTATTGTTTCGTTACGTATTTATAGTAATGTCTGTGAATTACTGTAATATTATTGTACTTTTTTCCTTAATTATAAAATTTATCATTTGATGTGAATTTGAAAATTACTTTCATTGAAATTCGGATTTTTTAAAAAGATGTTTAGTTATATATTAATATTGTATATTTGAAAGCAATTTAATAGATGTTTCTTTAAAAATAACTTTTTATTTTCAATTAACGTATATTGAGATGGAATTCAAGCCGAATGAGAGAAACCAATAAAAGGGTTCATATTTTGTCCGTTTTATTGACTAAATAAAAAATATTTACAAAAACTTAATTTTGTTTCACTTTATTTATAAATAAAACTATTTCTAAAATGACATTTAATTGTGTTTAAAATAGTTTAACAATTTTGATAACAATTATTAGCGAAAACATGTAAATGTATTGACAAATGAGAATACAGTGTGACTACAGTGTAGTCTATTGTACACCGCCAATGATATGAATCTAAGCACTGTGGAAGCTACGAGCAAAATAATGTAAGGTTTTACACTCGTAAAAATAAAAGTGTATCAAAATTAGTTATTAAATTACATTTATTTTGTATGTTTTNTTATTTTGTATGTTTTAGAAAAGTATAATTGACTTTTGGTCATTTTAAAAAGTGACTAAACAATATAATTTTTTTTATGAATAATGCACTATTAATACTGGGATTTCCAATTACTCAATACAAACACTTGCTTAACTACATAAAAATATGACGGTAGAGTAGAGTCAATACTATTTGTCAACAAATCATATGTTTTTATGTTTACATTGAATGCCAACAAATGTCTAGTATTTTGTTAGAAGATCTCACTCTCGATGACCACTTGGATGAGGTCTGTCTAGTGATCATTCTTCTGGTGTCACATCAATTGATGCAAACATTTATTATTCAATAGATTGACGACAAAGAGTTCGCCATTCCGGCCATCGATGGACCGCTTCCCACAATCGACAGTATTCTCAATGAGGTATCAATTGATGTGATTATCATATCATTAGTTGTCTTGAATGGTAATTACATCCATAGGAAGACAACGACTCCATCGATAGTGATCTTCAATTGGAGGCAATCGACACGACAAGTGGTTTGAATGAATTTCTCGAATCCACTGAAAACTCTTCGATTAGTAGTTTTGAGTCGAGAGGAGTGGCGAGAAAGTCGTCGACAGCGCTTCCATCCAATGAATCCATAGCGAGAAGTGTATCATTCAATGGATCTGTTATACGGCACTCGATTCTGAAGGCAATATCTGCTCAAATCAAGTCCGCGGACACCGATCGCATCAATGGTGGAAAGCCGACAGCGCTTACCGTTTCCACACTTTACGTGGCTATCGGAACATCGCATGGATTTGTTCTCGTCTTTGGTATCACATGACTGTCGCCTATTTGTGCCCACAATTACTTAATTGATTATATTTGATGTGTTTTAAGATTTACGACAAGTGATGAAATCATGTCTCCGTACAGACAGTGATTTGGGATCAGTGTCTGCGATGTCTATCAAACGCGATAACTCGAGACTACTTTGCGGTTATAGCAGAG